ACTATTTTAGAGGCTAGCATTAAGAAAAAGATAACAAAATAAATAATCCAGAATGGCCCTACCATGTGTGCCCTCCGGGATACTGCCTCGTGTGACGTGATCCATAAAACAAGTTACCAGATAGTGCGATGCCCTCAAGTCAAGTTGCACTATGCAGAATTCATATTCATATCAAATGCCATCACTGTGGTTGTGGCTGTAATCACACTGAATCACTTAGAAGAATAAATGAGTGAAAGAAGCTGCCTGCTGCCTTTAGAGAAAGTGAGCAGGGCCACACAACGCAAGTTTCCTTCTGTACAGCCTTGCAGGTGGTTCAGCATGTACGAAGGAAATCACGCAAGCAATAGCAACATATCTACTGCACCTAATAAAAATAAATCACGGCAACCTTTCCATCTAAATTAAGGTGCTTATTAACCTTCAGGGTCTTAAATATTCAAGTTACACTCACGCACCTTCCACAGTACTCACTTGACTGCCACAATGAATGCACACAAAGAATATCAGGCAAATCTGTGATGACTGAAAAGGTTAAGAATTGCCCTGCCTTATTTTTATTCATGTTATCAATAATTCAGCCTATTCCAACTGCATGGCCTCTTCAAAGAGTTACAAACATAAGTGAGCAATAATGTTGATTTGTCCACATTAGTCCTGGTTTTATTAACAATAGATATAGATATGAATGCTTAATGCAGCAGAAAAGGGGGTTGAATTTTAATAGAGATGTTAACAACATCTGTCAGCATTTATTGCCCTATTGTGACCATGTAAAGAGCCTTATTGGCTGAATGTAGAAGTGAGGAAATCTGCTACACTGTTGTAGCCTGCCACTCTTCTGAAACATCACCCTGCTCAGAAGCAGCTAAGGTATTCCAGCTATAAAAATAAATAAAAATATAGAAGAAACGTAGAAAGATTTCTCCAAGCCATGCCACATCTAGGAGGAAGTAAGCACTGCAGCAAGCCAACGTGTTCTTCTATTTCTTAACTTCTGCATAAGATGCTTCTAAACATTTTTATTGTAAATAATAAAGCTGAAGCCTGCAGTGAGGCATGGAAGAAAAGAAAGAAATATAAAGCAAACAGAAGAAACAAAACCATTCTCAGAGCACAGCAACAAGTCAGATTCCTTCCCAGCAGCATCCAGGAGAAGCATGCCGTGCTCTCACACTCTTCAAGCAGAACCCCACAACTGTCCCTTCTGGATCAGAAAAATACCTCTAACAATGGACACCAAGAAAGCACACTCCTTTCTGACTCCCTCTCCCCCTTCTTAAACTCAGCAGTAATCTTATTGCCTTACTGGTAAAAACATCAAGCAGGCTTGTTTCCTGTTTCAATGTTATTCTTGAAGTGGGCTGCAGTAAGAGTCTGATTTTCATTGGGCTATTATTATTTGCAGCTGTGCGACCTTTTTAACCCTCTTTTAAAAGTGACATTTCAGCCTCCAACCTCAAGCTGTCTAAACGTTGCAAGGTTTTCAGTCCTCTGATTAACAGTGAAAAAGAACTGGTGGGGAGGTGTACTACCATGTGCCTGGTACAGGTCAGAGCACCAATCCTGTCATTTGCACAAGTGAGTAATTATGCTCATACGAGCAACCTGTTTGTTGAAATTAATCACCTAGGCACATTTGCAGGACAGGTTTCTTCAGGCTGCTGTGACCGAGGTCACCGAGATTGCCAAACGCAAGCACAAAATCCTCAGCCACTATGCAGAGACATGAGCAATAAATGAAGCATCACCTATTTCTTAGGGTCATGTTCACAATGCACGAGAAGTGAGAGGAAATGTAGTTATGGTGCACTTGCGAATATCAAAGAAACCCTTGGACGCATGCAGTGCTTTAAAATGCTAGTGGCAGCTCTTCAGCACAGGACTATTTACAGATAATTACAGGGTTATTGCAAATGCTATTACGACTTGTTGGTTTTGGAAGCATAGCATATGCAGGGTTAATGCCTACAGTTGCTCTCAATATGCCCTTGCATGAGCAAACCAATGTTAAGTAGCATTGTGCTGAAACAGTGCATGGTGTTTTCATCTGCATGGAGCACCCAGTGGAAGTGCTTGCTTTCTGAGGCTAGCATCATGCTTTCCACATGCACACATACAGGGCTCATTATCACAGCCCTGCCTGCTCCAGCTGCTACAACAGAGGGTCTGTCAGCATTTCCATTAGAACCCCCCCGTTTCAGAATTAAAACATTTCCAAATGGTTCTGGATGCTGGAAAGTAAATTGTGTCTGGAGTCCCCAAGAAGACCTTTAATGTGATACACATTTGAGCCGGGGCTCAAGCCCCCACTAGTACTCCAGTGAAGTCTTTGTCATTACATTTATGACATTTATATGTGGAAAAACACTCAGCTTGGGCCTTTATTCATTTGTTTTAAAAGAGGAGAGCCCCATAAATCTTCAGGCAGAGCAGAGCACTCTCAAAAAGTGGTTGATGTGTGAATTGCCTCAACAGTGAGCCACATTGGGTTCCATCCCCATGGCTGGCAGCAGAGATCACTGTCTGTGTGGCACAGGGTGCGTTGCTGGTACTGATGTCCCCTGCCACCTGTGCTGGCCAGCAGCATGCTTCAGGATCAGCTGAAGACAGAGTACCAAAAATACTGCATTTTCAAGCTTGCCAAACACCTCAGTTCTTTTTAAAGAGCTACTCAGTTTGTTTACTGCCTGTATGAACAAAACCCAGTGCTGGGAAGGCTTCCCAACAGTCCAAAGGCTCTCCCCGTCACTCTCTCTTCCAGGTATACCCATCTGTCTCCAGACCAGAGGCAGAAGTGTTCTCGCTTCCCCACTCGGTATTTGGCCCCGTAAAACACCATTTCTGTAATCAAGGAAAACCTAATACCTGTCTCTTGCAGATCTTCTTCTTTCTTATAAAGAAAGAGAGAATAAGTAGAACTGAGAGTAACCAAACAGAAAAGGGAAACAAAGGCAGGAAGTTTCTTCCAAAGGGAGGAAGAATGAAGTTTGAAAAACTCAAGGATCAAGGAGCAAGGGAACTGGGGGAAAGCAGCACCCCAAAGGGGCTGGACACAGGGAGCCACCAGTGGAAATGAGATGGAGAAAGTGGAAATGAGGCCTGCAGACCACTGCGTACAAAACCAAGAGGAAAAAAGTAAAAGGATTCTTCTGAAAAAGAAACTCAAAATAGAGAGCAGATGACCTGCTGCCTTCCCATACAACAGAGTTAGAATCCAACATTGTATTCCATCCACACAAGATAGGAACATTTGGTAGAGTGCACAATTTGTCCTCTTCACTGGATGAGCTTTATCTTAAGTCTAGAGAAGATGCTAGTTTAGAAGAGGAGTTTAGAAGTTTAGAAGTTTAGATGATTAATACACATTGCCTAGGCTCTCCACATCAGTATGTGAAGACCGGCATGGATTTTCTTGGTATAGAGGATTTACTGTTTTATGAAAATAACCATGGGGTTATTAAGCACAAGCAACAGAAGGCAAAATAAAAGGAAATAAGAAAACAAAGGTGGAGAGCAAATTTTTTTTAAAAAAAGCACTTTAAGTTCATGAAAGTTATCTCAGCACAGAAATATTCTATAGGAGAAATCAGATCTTTATAGGGAAAGATATCTGTTACTTCAACTCTGCAAAAGCACTTCAAGGAATATTATGGTTCTTTTACACTCTGCAACTGACCAAGCAGGGACTGCCTCTCCTGGAAGCCTTCCAGGCTTGTAGCTTTGCAACTGTCCCCCACTGATGTCATTTGCAGAACAGGCATAATACCTGCCTTCTCTCATTACAAGTTTGAAACAGCACAAGACCTGACTACAACCTTGCTGACAATGCAGACGTTTGCTTCATAGAACATGCAGCAGCAGCAACACGGGCTGTAGCAATATAGCCACAAACACAGGCAATACAAGGAAGAGTCACTATTTGACAATGAACATTTCACACACCAGCAGACGGAAACATCATCTATATCACTTCTCCATTTTACCTACTTTCAATTTTTCTGCTAGCTTCTTTACTGTTGGAAAAACCCAGATCTGCTAAGTAAAACCAAAATCTAAGTCTACAGATTCAACATGTCAAATGTTAAAGAAAATGTCAAGTGTCTATGGCTAGTCAATCTCACAGTCATCGCAACGTTAACAACTATCCCATTAGGTATTCAACTTAAGTGCTTATGCTAGAAGATTTAGACTGCTGTGGGTGGTGGAACAGCAAAAAGATAGAAAGGGAGAAAAATCTTAGAACAGGATTCAAAAAGACACCTTAAATGGTCTGAAGAAAACTCTACAATCTCAAAGGTTCAACCAACCTTTGATTGGTTGTTCAGAGTAGTGATGATACCCTCTCTCTACATAAGTCATCGTCCATCTCAAATCATCCTCCACAAAGAGGTGGAGAGAACTGCAAGAAAAACTGCAGTAACAGCAGCGGCAGGAACCTTGTTTCAAGAGACAAACACTAAGAGCTAGCGTTTTAAAGGAAAAAATGTATTTGCTCTGTTTTTTTTTCTTTATGAGCAAGTCTTGGCTTCTCCCTGTTTGGGACATGGTCCCTTGAGGCACACAACATGCACATAGAAGTTAAAACCACCATTAGCTGAAATCAGTATTTACCAGCAAACACAAGATTTAAAGGAGAAGATACACTCAGAGGACTCCATTCCAGACTCTTACGGACATTATTAACTGCACCTGCTCTCTCATTACTAGGTTTCAGAGGGTTACAAACTTAATGCCACTACAGTGCAATATGTGATGCCCTAGTGATTTACTAATCACTACGTACAGGATGCTTAGAATTGTATATACAGCTATTTGCCAGGAAAAAGGGGAAAAAGACGGATCAGAAAATGCATGGCTTGTCAGCCTGTCCCAATTTTCACTCCTCTCCCAAAGGTTAATAGTGTTAAGTGAAGTGGGTCCTCTGTCTTCTGCAAACCCTTTCACAAGCACGACACCGTTCCCAGCACTGTGGAAGCTGCTATGCTTCTTGCCAGTAGTTCTTACACCAAGAGCTTTATTGTGGATGTACGAAAGGAAAACAGAGTCTGCAGATCAATCTCCTCAAGTTAAGATGGTTCATCATGTCTATTGCTGTGAAGTGAAATAAAAAAAACAACAACACAACAATTGAGGGAAAATGCAAGTGTTATGTACTGTAGAAGATCTACAGGAAGCCTATAAAGGGCAGAAAAGGCAACTGCAACTGTGGTGAGAAATGAAGCCCATGAAATGGAGGGTGCCAATGATGAACTCCCAGTAACATCTGGCAAATAAGCTAATCTTTTGGGACTTTCCAATGTTGGCAGATAAGCATGTTGTCTGTCCCTTCAAAGGCTGACCTCATTTCTATCCTTGGGTTAATGGCATGCAAAGCTCCATGCTACAGTTACTTTTTTCACTCTTTCCCCCTCACCCCCCCTCCCACCCCCAACAGTTATTATAAAACACCAAACAACTTTGCCTATTGTTATAGTTTGCATACAATTTAATTAAGAGTTTTCCCTCCAGGAATAATATTGACTGAGGGTTTTGAAGGGCTGTTTTGTTTTTTAAGTATACTGTAACTGCAGTATGCTAATTGCTTTGGTTTATGATACACAAATAGATAAAAGAATTCACCTACCTTGCATGCAAATAAACACTTGGACTTCCAAAGGGAAGGAAGAAAAAAAGAAAGCATAAAAGATATCCTGGGGGAAACAATAACACAAAGCTGCTTAGCTGACTTTCATACCAGAAGCAGTTAGGGGCTTTAACACGGGCTTTGAAAATTCTGCCAGCCCAAATTCTCCTTCCATTTTATTATATAAAATAATCCTTAAACTAAAACTCTGTGCACCGAATTTTCATACTTTATAGATACAATTTTGCAATTCTGTGTATTTAAAATAATTTGAAATTAAGATCAATCTCACTTTTTACTTTTTGGCTTCGTAACTAACACACAGGACAACTTAAGACTTTCATTACATAGAAAAATGAGGCCATTAATAACTCTGCTACAAGCTGTTAATTATTAACTTTCACCCTTTTATAATTAAGTTTTGTAAAGCTTTTTTTATAGTTGGTAACTTCTCTTTCTTCAAAAAGACCAAAACTCCTGAATCAAGCCTCAACATTCACTGTTCTTAGTGTAAGATAAAATCCTTTGGTGTAAAAAATCTCTGCTGAGAACATTGGCAGCCTGCACACCCCCTCAGGCAGCACTCGGCACAAGAAACGTTAAAAACTGAGAACTCTTCTCTACAGTCCTAACAATCAAGGGCAAGCTGATCTGCAGCACTTCAAACTCCAAATGTCCAAAACTACTTCTGGAAATCTCCACTACATATCCCTTATCTTCAGACATTCTTAGTTTCTCACCATCCTGTAACAACATTTACTGACAGCAGCTTAACAACCAATTTCAAGCAAGTTTCATTTGGATTTAAGCTCTTAGGTATGTTTTATACAAACACAAAGATGCAGTCATCTACTGTTAAAATAAGGGCTCTTGAATTTTGTATTCAAGTTTAAGTTTTCTACCTCATCCTTATGTAGCACACATTAAAGTTGGTATTACAGCTAGAAAGATTATCATGGTGAAAATGGGAAAAGAAACAAGCAGGGAAAGAACTCTCACCTGCATCCAAAATGTAGGTTCACAGAAAAGACTCCACAGAGGAGAGATCTCCAGAAGAGACCCTTCCTAGGGGCAGTCAGCCCTTAAATGGGGTCTAGGAGAGGTGCAGCCAGGCTCCACCCCTTCTGGTCACACAGCTGAATCGCCTTCACCTGTGCTCTATGGCTGACTCAGTGCTCGCCTCAGGTGGTCAATCAGAGGTTCAGGCCGTGACTCAACAGCTCCCACACAAGCACAACACAACTAGACTTTAAATGGGCCATAAGGAGTAAGCAAGGATTTTCTCAAACTTATCAGTAGCTTAGAAAAAAAATACTCAGAGAAGTTGCAGATACTAAAGTGAGCGCTCCTGTATTCTAGTGGCCCTCTTACACTCTGCCGTAACAACTATAACTATGGACCAGAAGTGCAGCTTAAAAAAGTTAAGCAAAGCCTTTTTTGAGGCCAAGTATTTTAGTCTACATCTGCTGGAGGACCTGGAGGGATGTGTGCACTGCAGGTATGGCCAACAAATTAGGATCTGCTGCAGATACCATCAACAAATTGGGCCCTTCTCAGCTTGTTCTGTATGTTATCGAGATGACATTGCCCAACCACAACTGTATGAAACATGTTTTGCTTCCCGAGGAGGATCATCCTCATTAGGAGCTAGTGATACCTGCCCAGCACGTTCCTTATGGAGGAGCTCAATGACACACACGGGCCTTCTGAGTCTGGAACAGTGGCCCCAACACTGCTCCTTGCAGTCCCCTGGGAGCTGCACATATCGCTGGGATGGGAAGCCACGCTTATCTTTGATTTCTTCTGAAGTGTTGTTAAAGCAGGAGCCATCACCAAGGTCTGGAGTCATACAAAGTGAGCCATGCACAGCAGTGTCTCTGAATCATCAGCCACACTGATGCTCTCCTCCCACCTGAGGGCTGTGCCCTGGTAATTCATGTAACTGACCAGGAGAGAGACAGGCAGCCCACGGACTGCTTGGCAGGCATCCCAAACAAACAAAAACAAAGCAGTGTTTTGAGCTGCTCCCCCTCCCACAGACCCTCTAGTCTGGGTTTGGTGTCCATCCCAGAAGTGCCTGAACCATTGGGTCAGACAAGAGGTCTGGACCCAAGAAAGGGGTTACCACTGAAGAGAGTCCAAAAGAGGTCTTTGACTTTTTCTCATGTGTCCGCCTGCCCTGAGCACAGAAGCAGTGATCTGAACCTTCCCCACCACTTGGGTGAAAGGAAAAAGCACCCAGAGGTATTTGTGAGGTGTTCATCCCTCAAGTCCGTGACACAAACTGCACTCTACAGAACATCTGCTGCATGAAAGTGAGAAACAACAACCTGCCTGCATCCATACCCATAAGCAGCAGTTCAAACAGCGGCATCTCAGAGAAGCCCCAAGACAGGCAGGGATGTGACCATAATATTCAGAATCAACTGAGCAGCACCTGCCAACAGGCAAGTGCACATGCAAACAGCAGGGAATGCTCCTGACATTTCTTTCCATTCTGAAGGATGTATATCTCAGGATGAAACTCTCCAGAAACCATCTTGAAAAAGACTGCCACACTGCATTAAAGAAAGCATCCTTTCTGGCTGGTGGATTATTGTCTCCATTAAGGAGGCAGTGCATCAAGATGAAACAATTCCCAGCCACTAATTTCTGGCAGTGACCTATTCCTAACTTCAAATAAGAATACTACAATCCAGCGCACATGAAAAACTATTACTTTCCTAAAAAGAAGGAGTCAAGTTAAGGAGTAATTCTCCACAGGCTGTACATTCACAATCTGCGAACAACTCACAGCAACTTGTAACATGCTGCAAGTGTAAAGCGGTGAAATTCAAACATCCCTAAAAACCACAGATTTGTAACTTGTGCTTATGTAAATACACAGCTTTCAAGCCTCAGCCATCTTGGCCATAGCTCTTCTGGGAAAAATGAAAAAATCTTGGCTGAGATTTCCTAGAGCAAGTAGTGATATTGACTGCCTCCAGTTTTTCAGCTGTCCAATCAAAAATACTTTAAAAGGACTTCAATTTCAAGCTATGCTGCACACACCCTCTTCGCATCATATCCCTTTAGGGAATATTTATCTTAGAAAGCAAGCAAATAAGGATAAGTCAGACACATGCACATTATTCCGCTCATTCTTCTCTCAGGATTCTTACACAGATGTAATATTGTGTTGAAATTACAGACAAGAAGATACAGACAACAAATTTGAAGTCTAAATTTTTTAAACAGTCTGGAGATACCCAGAATCTCACTAACTGCAGTGACCTTTAAGTGTGTTATACCTGTGGCCTCTTGTTTAAAATCCCAGCTGACATGATATATCCCAAGTCATGCTAAATTGATGGAAAAGCCAGGAAATAAACACATATGTATTTATATCCACAGTGCAACTTGTAACTGCAAGGTCATTCTTTTGGGACTGGGCTACGGATTCTGATTTTTGCATTTTTAATTAATACAATTTATCTCATTTTCAATTACTGAGAGTCATGAATAATGAATTCTTTGTATGAAAAGTTAGAATTTTTTTTTTTAAAAAGCTACCTCAACATATAACTGCCTCAGTTTCTAAAATGAGTATTTCTTACATAAGCTGTTTTGATGGTCTAGTAAGCATATGCATATATAATTCCTTTGACCTCTCGTGGAGGATGAGAAATTCACCGAGATTTATACCAGAACAGTGAAAAAATACCCTTATTTCAGAATTAATCATAACGTGTTAACAACTTCTGATGTTATAGGTAATATAATCCAGTACACAGAAAGCCTGAAGAGTCAACCCAATAATAATATTTGCATACAGAATCACCAAACTTATTACAGTTTACCTGCCTGTACAACAAACATGCTATAGGTGTCTTGCATCAACTGAACAGGTCTACTTATACCTCAGAGCACCCAGTCTACAGCAGTGGTCGTCATCACAACATAACCATACAATTGGGGTAGCTGAATTCCTGCAAAGGCAGGTTTTATCAGTTAGCAGTATCAATGACTGCTTCCAATCAAGTGTTAATGGGTTATGGCTTTGGTGTTTGGAAATGCAGAGCACTTCTGGAAAGACACTTTCACCCTAAGAGATTAACAGATCCTCACAGTGCACCACCTGCCTCAGATCAGGCATCCGAGGAGAGTCAGGAGTTCCTCTCAGAAAGCTGTATTACTAAAGGATTCGTCTTTCCAAGTACATGCTAATACCATGAAGGCCATTATAACCGTGTCATAATTCTCCCTGACTTACTATCCAAGTCTTTAGGCAAAAGTTAGGTTTTCTTCACAGAGAGAAATTTCTGTGAAGTTTCTATCTCTGTGAAGTTTCAGATAGTTACTACTGCTTTCACACATACTTAATTTTTCAATCAAGACCTTCCTATCCTCTTTTCTTACGGACTTCTTCTGGCAACCTCTTTTCAGTTTTCACTCCTATTTCACTGCTGAAAAAAAAGGAAATAAACTGAAGCCACAGGAAAAAAAGTACTTTGAGGATGGTGTTTGTGTTATTGTGTAAGTGTAGAATTATGGAAATATTTAGGTTTCTTTCTCAATGCACACTTTAGGCAATTTTATAATTCCATACTAGCTCTTCTGTTCACACATGTGACAAGACTGACTGCAAAATCCATTTTGCAAGAGTTGATAAGGCAATGGTAGTACAACTTCCAAACAGATAATGCAGTCCCACAACTCAGGTAGTTGAACCTCGCAGTGAGGACCCCAGTTTCAAGATGTATTAGAGAGATCAAGCCCATCACTCTACCAGATATGCCCTTATATTTGGTAGAAAGGGAGAAGGAAGCAGAAATTATCAGACTACATACAGGCTGGCAGTGATCCTTTCTTTCCTTCACTCCTTTTCAAAAACTCTATAGCCTGTGGTTTTTGATGGGAGACTTTACCTGTGTGATAAATCATAGTTGGTAAAACAATTATTTCTCATTTAGCTCAAATCCCCTTTGGAGGGCTTTATCAGATAGTTCCACCTGCAGATCTACAGCAAGCGAGCTAAGCTAGCAAGACCAGTTCATGGACCTCCTGATAGAGTATGAACATGAAAATGCATATGCACTATGGACTGTGATTTTACAGTAACCTTGCTAGAATATTGCAAGACTACTCATTTTGGTGTGTGAAAATCCCTTTGGTGTTTTCCAGTTAATAAGGATGAAAGGGGAAGAAAAAAAAAGAAAAAAAAGAGAGAGAGAATAGAACATGGGAAAAAATTATAGGGCTGCACAGGCAGCCTCTAAGGAACATGGACCGAACAACCTTTGAAGTACTCAATTCTAAAATGAGCTCATATGAGAATTTTTTGAAGCAATAAAAGTGAAGCCTCAGAAACAAGTGTAAGTTACAGCCTGAAGTGCTTTATCACAGCTCCATGAACTTTCTTCCATAAAAACCAGTTGTTTAAAAAGTTTTACTTCGAGAGAAATGTGAACTGATATGGGAGAAAAGAAGAGGGAAGATCTTATAGTTTCCCAGAGGTGTGTTGATAAATAAGGCCTACACCTTATATCAAAATCATTCCAGGGGAACTGTCCTCTGCCAACTTGAAAGGAGACATTTGTGGATGTCTCATCCCTGCATGTGTTCCAGGCCAGGCTGGATGGGGCCCTGGGCAGCCTCATCTAGCGCCTGATTTAGTGGTTGGCAACCCTGTGCACAGCAGGAGGTTTTAAGTAGATGATTTTTGAAGTCCCTTCCAACCCAATCCATTCTATGATTTTCCACCTGGGGGAAGAAGGACAATTACCAGTGTACTATCTACTTTTGCAGAAAAACTCCTGCCCCCTGGAGAGAAAGTATTTGATTTAACAACATGCCTATAGGTATGTAAAATCACACGCTAGCTTTTAAGCTCACTGCCTCCAAACATTATGCCTTGGCCAAGCATATGTCTCAGCTGTGCCACACAAAATACTATGCCTATGTACATGGCACCATGCAGAGCTGGACAGAGATACCCACGCATATGCTGGAAGAAATGGCATTGCTCCTGTGCTAAACTGCCATGCCTT